AAATGTTTGGCTGTGCTCTCTTATTGGTCTTATGTGCCTTAGCTTAAGAAAGCCTAACACAGAACGCTAACACATATAAATTACTTAATAGCAAAATTAAACGTTTGGCTGTGCTCTCTTATTGGTCTTATGTGTCTTAGCCTAAAAAAGCCTAACACAGAACGCTAAAGCATTTGAGCATATGTCTACAGACAATTAAATATAAGATCTCGTTTAAAAAGAATTGAAACCAGTATTCCATGCACGTCTTGTTTTATGTTTTTTTGGAATTGTATTTCTAAGGTTTAAAGTTGTCTATTAAACAGCATTTACATCGTAAAAATACAACAATAACAACAAAATGGATACGACTAGTAAGAAGTCTTATTCAATAAATAAAGCTTACTGCGGTCAGTTCAAACCTAAGTTGAAAGGTTACACGATCGCCTCAAACATGAGTAACACAAATAGTTGGTACATCTTTTGTCTATCTACCGATTAATTATCAATCGAGGCTCCAGGCTAGAAATAAAGTTGGCTAAGATCGACTGCACGTCATAGTAACTTGTTTAGCATCACATAGGAGTAACAATCACTTACCTAATTCAGTTCTATCTCCGCAGTTAACGGTATACGCATAAGCGCAATTTTCTGTGAGCTTGTCGAACGGGTCAAACACCAGACCGTTTCCGCAGAGCTTCTGAGTGGCAGTTCCGTTGTCACAGGACCAGTATCTATCACAGTGTGTTAAGTGAGGGAAGAAGCCATACAGTTCCGGACAGGTATACACCTCGTTTGTTTGGACGACTGTGGAAACGTCGTTCTTTTTATTGCCGCGACCAGATCTTCGGGCTGTATTAGTAGCCGAATGGCGACGGGGTGGCGCCTGGGCTCTTGGGGATGTAGCCTGAGACCGTGAAGGTTGGGATTGGGTACGTGTAGATGGGGTCCGGCGTCCGGCAGTTGTTTGTGTGTTTGTCAAAGGTTTATTTTCTTCCTCATCTTCATAATCATAGTAATATTCATAATCGTCGTTGGAACTCTGTGACTGTGATCTCTGTTGAGCCACGACTGAAAGATTTGAAAACTATGTTAAATAAAATAACCACAAGTGTTCCTTGAATGGTATGACCAAAACTTTTTACCACCGTTGTGATTAAGAATACATATATTGTCAGTGAGAAATTTTGTTTGGTTTTAGTTCAAGGACTATCAATTCATATTCTTTTTATCTGAATAATTAAATAAAGGTTATTTTGTAAATAAAGCTTTTCCTTTTTATATGCTCATAACAACAGCTAGTGAGAAACTATATAGATGTCTTATTAACAGGGGAGGGGTTGGTAGAGCACCCGCTCACATTACTAATCAAATCTAGCGATTAAAAGATATTCTAATGTTATTTAAGTGAAAGTTCTCGCCTTTCAAAATCTAATGAAAGCAGGTAGAAATATCTTACTTACAAGAATTGAACAATGCTGAAAATAAGGTGGCTTAAGTAGCAGAAGAAAGTACAAATTTATATGAATGGAATACAATAATTACTTGATTACTTGACTGACTTGTTTCTGTTTTTTTTTAAGTTGTGAGTGACTGAAACAGATCATATACTATTTGTTTCCCAGTGACTTTTCTTTCGCTTAACAAAAAATGTTTCTTTTCCTTGGTACAAGTAAACTGTGCAGTGAAATCACAATAATACGAGACAGAATCATAGACCGTATAAGGAAACTCGAATACAGAATCATAGACCGTATTGTGATTTCAATGCACAATATAAGGAAACTCGAATATAGAGACAGAATCATAGACCGTATTGTGATTTCACTGCACAATATAAGGAAACTCGAATATAGAGACAGAATCATAGACCGTATTGTGATTTCACTGCACAAATAAGAAATATATAAACTATACTAGATTTTATCCAACACTGTGTGTCTCAAGTTGAAAGTGAAAACATATCAAGTAAAATTCCTTCAATGAAATGGCGCAAACGACATATGTTTTAATATCATTTTGATATACACTAAATAGAAATAAATTATATTATGGTAACTCGTTCGCCCCCCAGTGGCACAGCGATATCTCTGCAAACTTACAACGCTAGAAACCGGGTTTCGATACCCGTGCTGGGCAGAACACAGAGAGCCCATTATGTAGCTTTGTGCTTAATTATAAACAAACATAACTCGTTCCGACATTCTTGATTGCCAACACTTTAAGTTTACGAGGATATATCTTGAAGTAGAAATTATAGCAAGAAACATAAATGAAAAAAGGTAGATAAAAACAGGTGAAAATGAAGATATTTTTTTTATCATCTCAGATAAATAACCGAAACGAAATTATTAGATGTATATGTCTAAGTATTTCTAACTACACAAAGCAACCACCATCTATTTCGAAGCCACCGAGCAAAAACCGCTTGATAACAGCGGTACTATACACCTTAATTCTTGTTTGCAACAATAGAGCCACAGTTGTCTCGTTAAACTGGGAGGTAACAATTGCAGAACCGGATTTATTCTTGTATTACGACTTTCCAAGCACAGGCTTAGAATCATATTATTTATTCATAGTTTTTATACTAATAACTATGACAGGTTAATAGCCTATTAACATTCTCGGTAATAGTATTACCTTGGTGACTTTGCGTCCAGAAGAAACTTTGATACATTATCATTAGACATTTTTTTTTATTGTTTCAGTTTCCACAATGACAAGTCTTGGAAGTTTAATAATTTCTAGACAAAGAATCGAAGAAAAAATAGTTCAGGAAGTTTCGTTACATATATTCTAGGCGTGGTTCATGCACATATTGGTAACTAGGTCACACCTTTGTTCTACCGCATTCCAATGTTGCTGAATTTTGTAGTAAAAGCTAGTCTATTAGTCGGCCATTCTGACACAGCTACGTTTAATTATAACTGACAGCGTGATATTTCAAATATTCACGGTCAGCTTTACCCAATATTAATTCAAAATATAAGTAAATTAACAGTGAATTAATACAAAACTGCCATGCAGTATTTTAGCAGTTATGAAAAAGATATGATACACAAGGATCATTTTTTCCCATTCGTTTTTGAGAATCACTATGTAATAGTTTCAGTCACAAATGTATAGTGTTCAAATGGTTTTTTTATTAATCTGCGGTCACATTTGGAGTTTTCTACCTCTTCACGTGATTGGTAGGCAGTGTCCTTCCTTCCCTCGCCAACACGAATGCTTATATTTTAATACTTAACAATCGTGATCGTTTCTATAGCAAGAAAGTTACAGAATAATGCGATAGAAAAATCATTTGTGAAAGTAGAGCTTGTAATACAGAAACCTCAACTCGAGCCTCTTCAACTATGAAAACCTAGTCAATAAACGATCTCAACAGATCTGAAGCCATAAGCTAAACAAAATTTCATTCAGAGGAGCTTTAAAGCGCAAAGCAGCAAGGAAATGTTCAAGAATTTAGAAACGATACTCGTGACACTGACGTAATTATTCATCAACACCGGTTTTACTGGTTGTCGTAGCATAAATCATGATGTATTGTCCACTTACAAAGTTAGGTATAACAAGTTGTAAATTATGATGTATTGTCCACTTACAAAGTTAGGTATAACAAGTTATAAATTATGATGTATTGTGAAATTAGAAAATTACATATACGAAGTTACAATTAAACGTTGACCACAAATAGAACATTTTCAAGTCAGCCTTGTTTCTTGTTTTGTTTGTAAAATCGTACCATTTACGTTCTCCAACAACCTCACTTACCACCAATTAAAAATAACTGTTCTAGTGAACTCTAATGGAAGTTTGAGTTCCCCCAGAATAGGTTTAAATTCTATACTGATTCTTGATAACATGTGCTCGAAGTTGTTTGGACCACCGGTTCCCGATAACGAGTTACGATTTTCCTTCTGTCTGGTCCTAAGTGAGCATACATCAAAAACTCTATATTATAGATATAAGCTTGTTGAATGGCCAACTCAACTTGTTATACCTAACTTTGTAAGTGGACAATACATCATAATTTACAACGTGTTATACCTAACTTTGTAAGTGGACAATACATCATGATTTACAGCTTGTTATACCTAACTTTGTAAGTGGACAATACATCATAATTTACAACTTGTTATACCTAACTTTGTAAGTGAACAATACATCATAATTTACGACTTGTTATACCTAACTTTGTAAGTGGACAATACATCATAATTTACACTTGTTATACCTAACTTTGTAAGTGGACAATACATGAATGGATTAACGAGATTCCCACTGTCCCTATCTACTATATAGCGAAACCACAGTCAATTTACGACTTGTTATACCTAACTTTGTAAGTGGGCAATACATCATAATTTACGACTTGTACTTATACCTAACTTTGTAAGTGGCTTGAATAATTAAATTTTCTTCATTTGACAATTGCATTAGTAATAATATAAAGCGTATTAACTCGGGGAGGTATAAAAAATCAAGCATACAATAATGTTTCTCAGTGACATGTTAAGCTATCTAATGTGTGCATGCGTGTTTTCTTATTACAATATATATATATATGTAAAACCATTCCAAAGACATCATTTCGATTTATTTTAAAATAGACGATTAACACGTCCTATTAGTTTCTTTCCAGGTCCATTCCAACGAAATTCTAACTTTTATATCTATTTCTCAATATCTGTAAAATTTAAATACAGCAAACCGTTGAAAAGTTAAGCAAACAAAAAAAATCATCAATGCTATTTCAAAATTGTACAAGGGTTAAGCATACTTTAATTCTATATTTGTATATATTATCGTGTTATATTAATAATTACCGTGCATGTAAATTCAATAAAAACAAATCATAGCTATATGACGTCACGCGAAATTACTTTAGGTGTATAATTAAACATTTACAATGATGTTTTCAATTCGTTTTCTGTCACACCAGTGGGATAGCGGTAATTTTATGGACTTATAACACTAAAGCTTGGGGTTAGTTTTCCCGCAGTGGACAGAGTACAGATAGCCCATTATGTAACTTTGCACGAATAAAACAAGAACAACAACTGATTTACTAACGAAGTGAAGCTTTTAAACACAGAGGTCGCAACTTTCCTAGTGCAAGCTGTTCATCGAACAAAGAAATACGTTTGGTGTTAAGTGTAAGGCAGCCTAAATATCGGGTTAGTTGAAAATAAAAATAATTGAACATTTACAATTTTTCTTATAAAATATCAAGGTTTCTTTATTTTATTAAATTTCATAGTATTATTTAGTTTATTTGTAGGCCTAACTACAGTAGAGTGAGCGCAAATGAGGACCATGAAAGTTTAACAGGTAAAGTTTTATCTTACAATAATTTATTTGTATGCCTTATTTTACGTACATTTGTAAAGTACATATGGCAAATATTTAACCTGATTATAAATTTGCATTAATATCGTAAAAATCTAAGAACTATTGCTTAACTGCGTTCGAAATATTTATTCTAACAAGGTAATCAAGTATCTGTAAGTTGTACAGCTACATTATATTTAACTAATGAAAAACAAGTCCAATACGTCTCACAAGCGTCAAAGATATTAGTTAGCTCAGGCCTCGAATTTTTTGTTCTTATAAAATTATGCTAGTAGGCACTGGTCTTTAACGATGCACGTTTTATATGGAGTTTAAATCTTTATTTATTTATATCACATTTAATGCAAAACGAGACAGATTAATAAAATATTTTTCTACATAAAAAGCCATATTTGTCTTATAAACTCGAGGAAATAATTTTCAATTTATTGTAGCTTAATTCCATTCAGTATTGTCTTGTATATAGAATACATACTGAGCGAAGAACCTGTTCTTTCACTGACGAACAAGTAAAACGTGTAAAACAAGCATAGAAAGTTCCGGATTCGATTCACCGATTTTATTTATTTATTTTTTAACAGACTAGAAATATGCTTTTCATAATGAGAGTATTATTGCTATTAGATACAACAGTTGGTATGAAATTATTGTAGAACTTGTTAAACTTTGCTTGAGATCAATGCTTAAGATTTGTTAGAAAGATATACTGCAACAAGGTATGGCTAAGCTTAGTATTACGCCTTAACCAGATAACCGGTTTCAGTCATCAGCCTGGTGACCCACATCAGGTTTATCAACCAGGTTTTTGTGTCCTCATTTCTGAAAACCTTGGGGAGGAGCTTGGAAATTATGTTTTCATAGTTTTACGCACTTACAAACGAGTGGCTGATATTTATCGAAATGACTCGACTTTTCTCTGAAACTTATTGAATTTCATATAACTTTTCACTCCTGGTGAGCGAATAATAAATTATTTATGGTAGATCCATTTTTTTATATTTTCCCACATAATACCGCCAGCTACTACATTAAATAAACGATGTTTAAAAGTAGTAATATCCAACGAAGTTAAATATGACAAATTTGTTACAATTTTAAAATATTACGCCCGAGATATACGAATATGTTTAATAATATAAACGGAATATCATTCAAATGTTAACGTTTTTTTACAATCTATACAAAAATGAATACATATTTATTTCTTCATTTTTCAAATGCTCGAGCATGAAGGTATGAAAACAAAATTACAACTACAAACTTCTTAAATCATTCATTAACTAGCGTAGATACAGAAAATCGTATTTATCAACCCTTTAAGAGGTGTGCATATTTTCAATTCTTGAAACCGTATGCAATGTAAATATATATACGCATACTCTGTCAAATCTAGTGGTAAAATATGGGTAAAACTTTATCTCTTGGTAAAATATAAAAATGGAAGTGCTAAGGCATGTAAAATATTGCTCATAAAGTAAAAATCTAACAATAGAAAGATGATGTAGACTAACAGTTATTTGAATCATAAAATAAATAATATTCTTTGTCATACTTCGATATCACAATTACGTAATTATAACATAAATTATGAAAATTTTAAAAGCGAAAATAAGTTTCATTTTAATCTTATCATATGGAAACAAAAATTAATTACTTTGATTAAACTAACATAGTAATTAGGCCTAGGATATCATGAAAAATTGCTTTCCATACCAGCGGCCAAAAGAAGTAGAAACACCAAGCACACCTTCATCTTGTCTCAACTAACAAAACAGCCAAATGACGTGTCTATTTAAACAAATCTCCCCTTTCTCTGCCTCTTCTCATCTAAGTTAACTGGTTCACTGCTCACCTGTTAAAATATCACGACTGCTGCGCCTTCTGGTGCGTTCTCCTTAGAATACTACTTCTGACCTAGCCTCGTACCCAATGAACATTAATATTAAGGAAGCATCGGACCAGTAGACGACATATTCCACTTTCTACGTGATTATTCATGACACACCTTGATCATAGACCCCCCCCCCAAAAAAAAACACAACAAAACACGAAATACTGTATTTTTTATCAATAAAGTGTTTTAACACTGGAATTACTTAAGCATCAACGAGAAAAAATACACCCTGTTGACCTAAAATTAGCGTTACAAACTCTCTTCAGCAACTACAACAGACAACAAATAGTAATGACAAAAACAGTAGCTATAAACGTTTTGTTAAATGATTTTCAAACTAATTTCTATGGCTAATGTTCGTCTTGAAAGGTTTACCTCTTCCTTAACACACTCATTATTTAAAAAAATGTTTCCAAACCATTATTTTTTAAATCAACATCTCAAGGGTAAATATTCTCATAAAACCGTTTTTTTTATTCCTACCGGCTTTATTTTTTTTAAGGATTTTCCTTGTTTATTCATAAATAATTTCTGAAATAAGAACAAATGATGGAACAATAAATGGCTTATCTGACTCAGAATTAATCATCGGCTTGATGTAAAACTTAACATAAAGTGAACAACTTTGTATTTACAACAATGCCACGAGGTCTTAATTATAAGTGTTTATCTCCATAACAATAATCTAGAAAAGCAATCTGTTATTAACTGAGAGTTAAATTAATTACAACGAGTGTTAAAACCGAAGAACAAGAATGGTTAACACTTGAGACAGTATTTCTATGTCAAAGCAAGGAACTTAATTTTAATTTTACTGCCCTTTCAGTATCATTTGCAAAAACGTTGTAATTGTTGTTAATTCTTTTTTCCAAACATAGAAATTTTTAACCATATTGTGATTACCAAATATCTCTGCTTATTTTACTTCCTGTAAACATTTTATTAACATTGGCATTGACATGAAACATTTCTTAAACGTAGAAATATTAGAAATAATTGACACATATTTCAAAAAATATAATAGCAAGTTACAATAATATAATTTTAACTCATAGTTTTACAACCTTTTTGATCTTTCTGAGATAATTAACTATGGAGTTCTCAAACAAGAGTTATCCGTTTGACTTTATTCTAAGACCCTGAAGGAACCGGTTTAGTTCACTTTTTAACTGGATTGTAATAATCCAGAGGGTTGACGTACTGGCCTGTTTTCTACCAGAGGTACTCTTACAAGTTTCTCAGTTTCCATCTTATTAGTTGAAGAGTTTTAAGTTAAGATTAGTCTGTTTTGGTCACATTCTTGTGTTTTAAAAATTTCCAGCATACTTTACATTAAAATTGTTTTTAAGCTGAAACAAAGTGCATCAATTTCGTGCCAAAAGTACAGATTTTTGGTTGTAAATGAACATAATTATACATAGCTGTATTTAATTTACATATTTTAGTGTTAAGGAATGATGCAACAAATGGATTATGACCCTCATTTGATGTTAATTTACACGAATTAAAAACTTCACGAAAGTATATTTTAATACCAAATACTTATGTTGTCCAACTATAATCTATTAGAAACATTAGTAGTGAAAGTCCACATTAAGAACTCTTCAAGGTTTTGCACATTAACAATGGTTCGCAGTTTCTTAATATAAATGATACTTGCATGTTTTATAAAAATATTTAAATGTAATATATTCATTGGTACACTGCCCTGAGTTGCTTGCTAAATAAGATGTATTTCAAGTATTTTAATAATGTATTGTGTAGTCCTAAGAATAATTTATAAAGCACGGTTTGGGATTTCTAGCTTTGCTTCAACTTTTACAGACGTGCTTCTCAGAACCTGGAGAATTTATTCGGTTTAGTTAAGGTTTTCATTAAGTCTTTTAAACTTACTTCTTCAATATACACAAACAAAACAGTTTTACTGGAACAGACATATCTCAATATGGTTGTCAATATGACGACATTCGTCTGTCTATTTGCCATGCAGTCTTCACAAGCTACGTCTACCTTAAATAATCTAGTGTAGTAACTACATTCAAACAAAATATTGGCCACCCAGGTTTGATTTTGCGGAATTTTGACTCTCCACGTTTTCTCCATTTATTTGTGTAATTTAGGTTACTAGTTATTTTAATTTATCATTATTCAATGAGTAAGACGTAAGCCTCTTAGATTGTGTTGGTATCCAGACTTCCTATGTTAAGCGCTTTTTTATTTTTGTAACAGACTATCATGATTTTGTTCTTCAATACCTAAGACTCCTCAGGAAATGCCGAAGTTATCCTGAAATAAATTGATTTTTCCAGTTAAAACAGTTTTATTCGACAACTAGCTTCCAAGTATCTTCCTGCAATGACTTTAGATTATAAGCTTTATATTTTAATTTACATTCTTCCAGTTATCACAGTATTATCAAACAATATAGAAATTTAAATAGTTACAACAGTTTTGTTTTTCCATAACTTATCAAGAAAGATAAATACAACTAGTTGTACCTCTGACGTGGAAAACAAGATGCAACGTATTGTAACAGATGAAATTACATGAGCTCAGAAATTAGTGACAGAAACCGTCCACGTGTCTCAATCAACATAATAAAGCAGGATCTCCATCTGGAAAAAGTCACGTGTCAACAAGTTTCTTTCTCTACATATCCATT